CACTAAAATGTTGTGCTGGTGACTGTGGGCACTGGCTCCCTGGGCAGGGCGCACAGGAATGGTGACTATTCAGTCCAGTCTGCCTTCCTGCACTGACCATCTCAGACTTGCTGCTCTTTCAAATGGGGATCAGGCCTGTTTCACTAAATACTTGTAAGATGAAACACTGACCAGGGAAGATGAGGGGCAGGTCTCAGATGGGGAGAAGCCTTGTGATAAGGGTGGGAAGTGTGGCGATAGGACACGGGAGCTGAAAGGGCACGGGCCTAAAAGAACAATGAAGGCAAACTTTGAAAGCTGACGGGTTTTGGGTACTGCAGGAGAACCTGCTGTCCACCACGACTTAAATAACCCTGAAATGAGACTGCTGCTTTGCTCTTTCAAGTGCCCCCAGGTCTCGACTGTGGCTGTATTCTGAATTCCTCCACAGGCAGCTTATCTAGGTCCCACCTCAGTCTCAAGACACTACATGGCTCTGGCTCTCAGCTAATACACTCTCACACACGCCAGTGCCTCCCCCTGGAACAAACACTCCCTCCAGTCAACTGGCCATGGCTTAATTCAGAATCAATCTCCAAAGTCTTGCTGGACCTACCTGGGGAGATGTGGTAACCCCATGCTTTCAGAAGAGCTAACACTCTTCCATCACTTAGTAATTTTTCTATCTGTCTCTCCCAGAAGATGCTAGGAAAATGGTTTCCATAAAGACAGGAGTGAGTTTTAGTCAGTTTTGCATCTCTCAAAGTCAAGCCACACAGGAGGTCAATTTAACACAAACTAGAGATACCTGGGAAGGGGGGACCTCAACTGAGGAATTTTCTCCACCATTCTGGCCTATGGGCATGTCTGTGGAGCACTGTTTTGATTGTTGGTTGATGTAGGAAGGCCATCCCTGGGAAGACAGACCTGGGCATAAGAAAAGTAGCTGAGCAAGCCAGGAGAATCAAGCCAGTAAGCAGCGCTCCTCCATGGTCTCTACTTCAGTTCCTGACTCTAGGCTCCTGCCTTGAGCTCCTGCCTTGGCTTCCCTTGATGATAGACTGTGAGTTGCAAGCCAAATAAACGCTTCCCACCCCAAGCTGGTTTTGCTCAGTGTTTTACCACAGCAACAGAAAGCAAACCAGGACAGTTGCAATTAACACCCGAACAATGAAGTGACTATGGAGACCAGTTTGTTAAAGTGGCAGACTGGCCGCACCTGGTCTGGGCTGTGCAGCTCAGTGAGCAGTCTCCCAGCTGCTCCTGCATCCTGGAATCAATACCCAATTCACCTTCCAATTCCTCTTCTGGATGTCACTTATAGTTCAGTGTGGTGTTCGAAAGACTTCAACTGCTAGACATCCCTAAAGTCATCACTCTGTGGAGATTCAAAGATTAAATGATTTGGAGATACAACAGAAGAAGAGGAAGCTTTGTGGCCGTTTCTTTTTTCTCAGAAGGGATTTTTCCATCCATCTGTATCCACTAAGGTAAGAACTCAGAGGATCAACAACCTCTGTGAATAACAGCCTCATCCAGCCCACTCTCTCGGGATTTCCACAGTATCCTAAAGGCTGGAGTGCTTTCTGAGTCTGTCTTTGTGAATTTGTAGAGTATGGTTCCTGGACCAGGGGCATCAGTAATATGTAGTAATTTGTTGAATATGAACATTCTCAGACTCCACCTAAGCCTTACTGTATCAGAAGCCCAGGGGCACAGATCAGGGATCAGCACTATAGTGGCACTCTGGGTACTGTGGATGGGCACTGAGTCTGTGAAATCAGTGTTTCAACTTAGGAAGAATACAAAGACAGGCCATACTGTGCCCATTATTTAAAGGGAAGACACATCAAGGAACGGACACAGCTCCAGAAAGACATCAGTCTTTGCTTCTAGGCTATGAGCTCTGTAATGAAGAAACTGTGCTAGCCAGCTTTGTATCACTGTGACAAAATATTGACAGTAAAGAAAAGGAGCAAAGCTGCACTGTGGCTCATGGTTCAGACCACAGCTGGCCCACTCACTTCGGAACTGTGAGCAGGCAGCACATCATGGCCCGGGGCAGACAAGGCTGCTCACTCACTGGCCAGGAAGTAAGGATGGGAGAGAAGGGCCCTGGCCCCTTCAAGGGCTCCTTCCCAATGACCTGCTTCTTCCAAGTAGGCCCTACTTCCTCCTCAAGTTTCTGCCACTTCCCAATAGTGCTACCCATGGAAAAGAGTCTTAACACACGAGCCCTTTGGGGGACATGCCAGATCTAAACCTCAGCAAAGGGTTCTGTGCTGTCAGGATGGCAGCTATGCTCAGATGGCTGTGGGCACTTGGACTGTGGCTAGTGGGACTGAAGAGGTCTGAGTTTATTTGGTTTAAAAATTAAATAGCCATGGTAACTAGTGGCTACTATCCCGAACAGGGAAGTTTTAGAAGATGACTAAATTATAGTAAATTACATTCAACTCAGTTCCTAAAATGCCAACAATAAAAATTCTATGACACATCCTCTTAGATTCCACCATTTGTTCATTCTGATGTTTGCTGCTTATTCACTTGCTCTATCAGATTAACATTTTGAAACTTCCTGGAAGCAGCTCAAAGCAATACAATATAAAGTATTATTATTTGTTCTGCATAAGCTTCATGAAGTGTTAGGTACATGATATGGTGTGTGATAAATTACGAAAACTGACAAGAGTGCTTGAGAGATGGCTCAGCAGTTAAGAGCACCGTCTGCTCTTCTGGAGGATCCAGGTTTGAGTCCCAGCACCTCTATGGTGGCTAACAGCTATCTTAACTCCAGTTCCAGGGGATCCAATGCTCTTTTCTGACCTCCTCTGGCTTTGCATAACACAGGTACACTTACAAACATGCAGGCAATATATTCACACATATAAAAAAACCTGACAAGGGAACTTCTCTTTGTGGTTATAGATGTCTTTTGTCTTATACCATGTGTTCAAGTTGATATTGGAGGTCATTTTTCAGACAACTATGTATTCTCCATCTACTATATAAACAAGGTATAGCCTGACATTCTGTCAGCCATCATTAAATGAATGTGTCTGTATACCAACTAAATTTGGATTATAGAAAGACTACATTAAAATTTTGGGAATAATTTTATTCTAAAAGATGATCAGTTCATTTTTTGTGTGTGTAAGAGATATGTGTGGTGTATGCACATGTGGGTTTTGCATGTCTGTGTCACAGCATGTGGGTGGAGGTCAGTGAACAACTTGTAGGAGTTGGTTCTCTCCTTTCACCATGTGAGTCCAAGGACTGAACTCAGGTCATCAGGCTTGGTGGCAAATGCCTTTACCTGCTGAGCCATCACACGGGCCCAGATGTTGGGCTCTTAACCTTGGATGTTGCAGCCCCTAGGAACTGAAAGAAACAGATTTCTTTCAATAAATACCTAATCTGGTATGGCAGCACAGATCAGATGACAATAACAACCCATTTATCTTCACAATAATTCCAAGGGAGAGAATACCATTAGTCCCAAGTGGAAGTTGGGGAGACTGTGGTAGCCAAGAGGCCAAGTTGAGTCTCACATCAACAGAGAACGAGAAGCTCAGCTCTTGCTCAGGAGCACTTTGCCTGTTGCCTCCCACATAGACAAGGCCAGGACTCATAGTTTATCCCAGAGCAAACAAGCACATACACTTCAGAATACTATACTTGTAGATTCGTTCAAGCCCACCATTTACAGGATATTAAAACCATTCTAAGAGACCATCATGGCAAAGGTGTAATCGCATTTGTACACTTGCCAAATCAGAGTGTGTGAGCTTTTATGAAAAGTTTCAGCAATGTGGCTTACAGGGTAACGGTTTATGGCTAACTGCCTTTTGATCTCTCATGTGAAAAATATGTACTTACATATATTGCAGGAAACCTCACCACTTCCTTCCTAAGTGTCGGTCAAAAACACTAATTACTTGACTAATTAGACTGTGAAACTTCCCTTACAGATGGTAAAAATGAGCTATTTTCACCCCACAAATTCAGTTGTGACATACCACACAAAAAATGCAGAAATGGTCAATGGTTTTATTGTAGACAGCATGAACAATTTAAGCAAATCATATAAAAATAAATGAGAAACTAATGAAAATAATCTGTTCCTTTCGTAAAAGGGGAAAACAGCTCTGTTCCTGGAGAAGGAGCTTGCCAGTGAGGAGACACTGTTCTGCAGGATGGGGGTCAGTTCCATAGCCCTCCTCCTGCACTGGGCCATCCCAAACACATGGACGTCCTCACTTGATTTGATTTTCACCACCACTTCCGGGGACTTTCTTTTCACTCTGCCTGAAGTCACAGGCTGAGGCAACACTGCCTACCTCTGTTTTCTCTCTACATGTATGCCCACCCACAACAGGATGACATGACCCTCCTTCAGTTCAGCAACTACAGCATTTCAGAATGTGCCATCAACTCATTTGCCACAAGAATCAGAAGAGTAAAATGAATCCGAGCTGTCTTAGCTTGTTCTTCATTGCTGTGACAAAACACTCTGACCAGTACCAACTTGGGGAGGAAAGAGTTTATTTGTCTTACATCTCCCAGGTCGCATGCAGTTCATCAGGGAACCCAAGGTAGGAACTCAGGGCAGGAATCTGGAGGCAGGAGATGGAGCACAGGCCATGGAGGAATGCTGCTTACAGGCTTGCTCCTTTGGCCCCTGCTCAGCCTGCTTTCTTATGCAACACAGGCCCACCTGCCCAGAGGTGGCACCACCCACAGTGGGCTGGGCCCTCCCACATCACTCATCAAGAAGATGCCCTTCAGACATGGCCACAGGCCAGTCCAAGAGAGGCAATTCCCCGATTGAGGCTCCTTCAACCCAGGTGTGTCAAGTTGACACTAAAGCTATCCAGCACACTAGCCAAGCCCTGTGGCTTGGGCTGGAGAGTCCCTGACTGATGGGTGCCCATGCTCACGGAGAAGAACCAGGAGCTCTTGAATTTGACACCCATGTTTCTTTTGGGAGAAGCCACAGTGTTGTACTGGGAGACACTCACCAGCATCGAGGCTGCCAGTTGCTGCTGTCCAGCCCATGACAGGTGGGATGGCTCCAACCACAGCTCCGACCCATGTGTTGATGATGCTGATCCTCTTTAGTGGTGTGTAACAACAGGTATACAAGAGAATGTTGAAGACCCCAAGGGCTCCTGTGAGTGGATTCACACCCAAGGTCAGAAGAACCACTCCTGGGATAGCACAGCAGGTGGCAAAGGACACAGCTAGCAATGGGCTAGAAGAGAGCAGAGAACAGTAATTACATTCCACTCAACTGTCACACAGCCCAGAACATGCACCGGTGCAGAGCAAGTATCTTTCTATCCACTGAGGGCAATGGGGAGGTCTCTTCCCTGTTGTCTTTCTGAAACTGTACAGCAGGGAATGACTGAAAGAAAAGAAGCTCAGAGGGGAAGGGGGAGCCTCTCACTCCAACCCCTTGCACTCCTTCCTGGCTGCAGGTCTCATCTCTATGAGAGAGGTTCCTTCTTCCTCACAGGGTTGAAGTGAGGACCAAGACAGGGCTACTTGGCATAGTGCTCTGTTCTACAGTTAATGCTAAATAAGGGACAGATGCAAACAAACCACTCAGAAGACAAGATTTGGACAAAAACCAATGTCAATTCTGGAAGCCTTTCTATTCATTTATTTACACTCTACTCTAAAGCATCACCTAATTAGTGATATTGAATAGCAAATGTTTGCCCCAGTGAATACCATCATTACACTATCTATAGTAAATTAGAGGCTCAGCATGGTGCCAGTCTTGCGACAACAGTCAACACCAGGTGGTTGGTGCATCCTGCCATTAACTTGGTTTGTGGATATGAGACTATCAACAAGAGGCCACACAGTATTATCTATGTGAAAGAACATCAGTAATTCAAACTCTATGATGATAACAATGGTAATTACAAGCTTTTCAATAGCGCCTACTTGGTCTGGACTCTTGTGAAAGACCTTGAGTCTGGCTAAGTCTAGATTTGAATCTACTGGTTTCTGCTTACATGCACATATGCTTATTCTTTCTTAAGGAACGAATGTAAGTTACTAAACCGGTCCTTTACCTGCAAAAGCCACAATTCAATCCCTGAGAAAAGCAAGTTAGGCCCCCATCAATTTACAGCTTCCTCAAAGTGCTCCATGAGAGCCCAAGTCACTAGTGAGCAGCTTCTACTGGGCTCTGGTTTTAACAATGTCAGTTCCCCAAGGGAGGCAATCTCTCTCTCATGAGCCCATATTTGAGAGAACACCCTTCTATTCCCAGGGCTGCAAATCCCACTGAAGAGAAGAAGAGAAAAGCTTTGACTCTGTGAACTCCCCCGCCCACCCTGAGAAAGGACTAATTTGCAAAATAAAGGCAAGTTAGAACTCAGCCAGGGTTAGGATGGCCCAGAGGCTCATAGTATCATGAGGCAGGACATGAGAGCTGGGGCACTTGGTGGATTCTAGTTCCACTCTCTCTAGCTGGGTCTCTTTCCTTCTGGCCTGTACCATCTTGCCTAGAAGATGGAATAAAATGGAATAGGAATTTTGAGGAAGAAAGGCACACAGAAGGACATGTTACTGCACAAGGTGCTTGTAAAAGAACCATGAACGAGCTATAGCTGAAAAACCTAGGTGAATTTGTCCTGGCCGCCTCTGAACCCATGGACAGTGATTCCCGTAACACCCAAACACCCTTAGTCTTTTATTTTGTCTTGTCCTACTACCACTCCCAACCTGACAATTCCTGTTTCTGTGACCTACTATTTCTATTCCTGGCTAGGAATGTTTTCTATTCCTGGAAACATACTGGTCACTCCATTTCAAGAGGATGGTTTAGTATGATTGGTACCTGGCTGGAGTCTATCTCCATCCCCGTATCTCAGAGTGACCCTGAACTCATCTCCCACCTTCTGAAGGCTCGAGCATCACTTGCTCCCAACACCCTGGACAGATGGCTTTCCTTCTTACACAAGCATTTAGGATGAATCTCTACCTTTGTCCCATTTCAGCAAAGCTGCCCCCCCCAACCCCCTGAGACAGTCTCACTATCACCCTGGCTACTTGCTGTGTAGACCATGCTGGTCTCAAACTCAAGAGAGATCCACCTGCCTCTGCCTCCAGAGTACTGGGATTAAAGGCTTGTGTAGCACCCAGGGCTTGTCCTCTTTGTTTTTAAAGACACACTCAGCACTTTTGTTCTTAATTACTTTCCTCCTTAATCTGTTTTTTTTTTTTTAATCTTCTAATAGTGACCCCGTATCTCCCCAAGTACTTTTTTTTCCCTTCCCCAAGGTAAGACCCCCACTATATCCACAGTTCTCAAAGCAAAGATCCAGGTGGGGTGGCATAAACACATCACTTGCCCTCCCCTCCGTCGTGAACTTATCTGCCCTTGGCTCTCAACTCCATTCCAGAAACAGATTTCTCTAAGGTTGTGAGAATGCATCGATTGACTTGGAACCGGCTGGCTTCCCAGTACAGTACACAATATAATTTTCCAGATGAAAGATCGGGAAGCTGCCTTGGTGTTATCTCATACATGCCCAGAAAGGAGAATGTAGGTGGCTAAAAAGCAGGATAAATATTTGAACTGTTGTCCTTTCTATAAGGTAGTTTACAGTTTATGAGAACAGGTCTTCCCTCACATGGAGCTCTAAAAAGCTAGCTTTATTTTGAGTGGGAAAAAATGCGGCTCATAAACAGATTTATTTTTCCTGAATTGGCCCTTGTGTTTAAAAAAAAAAAAAAGAAGGGTGTTCACTTCTTTTCCAAGGTCTGTGGAAGTCAGTTGGATTCAAAGGTATTAATGTTATGAAAAGCCCTTTCAGAAAAGCACACATGAATTTAATTTATTGAGATAGGCAATTTGGAGTGGAAGTTTAGTTTCTGACCTATGTTAGAATCACAGAAAATCATGAAGCTCAATTTGGGCATTTAAACCAGTGTGCTCAGGGGCATGAATGAAAACTGAATAGGTTGACAGGCCACACAAACAAAAATGAAGATATTTACCCAGGATGCTGTGCCAGCTCAGCATCCAAGAGAGAGAGAGAGAGAGAGAGAGAGAGAGAGAGAGAGAGAGAGAGCATACACATTAACATAAAATTTTTAAAAGATTTATTGGAGAGCCATGAATGGCAGACTTCAGAGCTTTCTCATGCATATTTTTCACTTTTGTTAAAATTCTGAACATAAATGTAATACACATTAAAATAAAAAAATCTGCAACTACAAAAATAAAAAAGAAGAAATTCTGAATTACTCAAGAGAAACATATTTCTGGTCTTTTCCAGTACTATATATACTTTAAAAATAAATATGTACTAAATTATGTTTTGGCTATTTGCTTAATTTCAGTATATTTTGATAATTTTCCCATGTC